GGTTGATCATATTTAAGATCGAAGAATTAATTAATGGCAGGACTTCTTTGAGCAGTTTTGTAGGAATGGGGTCTAAAAGACACGATGGTTTGGAGGAAGTAATTATTGAAGTTAACTCAGAAAGATCAATTGGAGAAAAAGTGTCTAACTTAACATCAATGGTACTAAGAGTAGCTGTAGATAATATTACATCTGTGGGATGATTATTGGTAATTTTTTTTTCTCTAATGATAAAAATTTGATTTGTGAAGAAGTTCATGAAGTCATTACTAGTTAACGTTAAAGGGATGGTTGGCTCAAAAGAGCTCTGACTTTTTGTCAGCCTGGCTACAGTGCTGAAGAGAAACCTGGGGTTGTTCTTATTTTCTTCAATCAGTGACAAATAGTAAGATGTTTTGGCTTTGCGGAGGGCTTTCTTATAAAGCAACAAACTATTTCTCCAGGCTAAATGATGATCCTCTAAATTTGTGATACGCCATTTCCTCTTCAGCTTAGGAGTTAGTCGTACGTAGTGAGGAGGTAAAATTATTAACAAAATAATCGACCTCTGTTGGAGTAGTATTCAGATAGCTGCTCTGCTCTATGTTGGTACAGGGCATTGAAGATGATAACAGTGGGTGGATTATATTCTTAAACTACCAAGTGTAAATGTGTGAACATTGGACAGAAAGCACTGACATGTAGAAAAAGTGCTTATGAATGTTATAGAATGTGCTTTGAGTGTTGTAAAACAACATGACTATTTACCATTTAACACGTTTATTAGACACACAAATATTTTAGAAAAATGCCAAAAACGTGTTTAAAACTATAGACACTATTTTGACATTTTTGGGCAATTAACATGGTCCTTATTCACACAGTGTGACCATAGAAATATTTTCATGCAACCTCCTCTGGCCTTGATAACATCTGGTATTCTGGCATTGTTTTTATGCACTTTGACAGTTTCTTTTATTAGATCCCATAGGTTAGCTGTCTGATTATCTTTGAATCCACTAAATTCCAGATTTGTTTAATAGTCCGGACTTTGACCTGGTTGGCCCATCAGTTCCAGCACTCCAGATTCCTTCTTCTGGGTCTCTGCACAGCTTTGAAGCCTGCTTGGGTCATTGTCTTATTGTTATATGAACCGACAACTGATCTGATCCTTCTGTGTCTAGTACTTAAAGCTTCAGTACATTTAATCAAACAGAATATTCAAACAAAAAGGCTATACTTTCTGTCCAAGAATGCAAGCAAATAGCTAATTTGGCATCTGAATCAAAAAATAATCATGTGCTTCATTATTTACTCTGTAAATTCATGGATAATAATAATACTAATACTTATTATTATATTTTAGCATTAAAAAATTCAGATGAAAGCACCTGTGCATACTGGTGGATTGACCATGACAGAAGCATAAAAGGGATTTCTTACCAATACTGTTAATGTGGGACAGCTGTGGCCTAAATACTACACTGGGGGGCAGACTAATACATCTATCAGGTACTGCACGTGGCCAGGTTTACTCTGGGCTTAATGATGTACACTTAGATTAATTTCACATAGTCCTTTTTGTAGAAAGTTAAGAACCCACTGCCACCGAGAAAAACTCACCTCTACCAGATTTGTTGCAGGTTTGCTGCTTGTTAATTTTCTGAAATAATCTACAGAGGGTTACTGCATGTGGGAAATAGTTCCAACTACATCTTGTCAACAAATGCAAAGCTGCATCAGATCCACCAAAATATCAGTAGCTCACAGATATGCTGAACGCTTTAACAACATCACCAGTAATGCACTAATGCTTCATTTAGGTTCATTAATATAAACACGCACAGGTGACTCTTTTTTGCATGGTGGCAGCTAATTGGTCAGTGCTGCTCCATACTCCTCCATAATCAATACCCCTTAGCAGAAAAGGGATGCATGTAGATCACACTTCAGATTTTACAGTACATTTTAAGGCTTGCAATTCCACTCTGTAGACTGTTTTGAACCAAGGTTTTCAGTATTTAAAATCAATAAATCTCACAAAAAGATAAACAAAAAGACAAACATCACTCTCATACAGATCTATAGACTGGTGACAGAAATTACACTAATGCACCTGAAGTATGTTTGTAGTGTGTTACCTTTGGCTTTGCTGTCTCCATCTGCTTTCTGTGAATCTGTCGTGTTGGGAGGGGCGGGCTTTGCAGCAAGGGGTATTGATGGGATTGGCTAAAATGAAGCAAACCATACAGATGGGAATGATTTATCAGACATGAGTGGACAGTGTTTGGAGGCGCGTTGTCTGTTGAACAGTGTGTCTGAACTGAAATGAGTGGAATAATCCAAACAGCTTTCTTTCTTTTTTTTTCTTTTTTTTTTTTAAAGGACATCAGATGGACTGTGTTGCTAATTATGAGATTAATAGTTACGGATCATAGGACGCAGCAGGAAAGAAGAATGACAAGTGCTTCAGTCACAGGCAAGAAAAACAGAGCATGAGGATAAAGAATCCTGAGAAATGTTTGAAAGCCAGCAACAATGAGGTGCTAAAAGGAATAGGTATGAATCAGTTTTTAAGGTTTTGGGGGTTTATTTGAGTGGGGTCGGGGGGGGGGTCCCTAAAAGGTGCAATAAGTCAAAGTCAGACAGTAGTGTTTGAGGGATGATGAAGGTCACATGAAGATACCTGAAGCTGTGAAGAAGACTGTGGGAGAACATGTGAAATGTGGTGGTATGTAAGGAGTGGAGGAGAGTGGGGGAAGCTGAGCTAGTGATAAAGACAGAGTGTGAAAGCTGTTGTGAAGAAGAGAGAGAGAGAGGCAAAGTTTCAGAAAAACAATAAACGCTATACTAATTATTCACTGAGCTTATGCATCGAGTTGTTTATCAGGAGCAGGCTGGGATTTACTCTTTCCATATTTGAGAAAATTATACTTGACAGGTGAAGGTGAAAGTTCCGGCTTGGACTTACTGTGATGATAGCAACAAGTGTGTTCATTAAAATAAACATTAATGTAGGTATGGTCCTTCAGTGTCCACAGTAATATATACGCCTCATGAGTGTCAGACTGAACAGAAGAGCTGACAAGCTAACAAAAAAATAATCATTACAGATATGACTTGAATCACACATGGGGTGTCAACCAACAGAAACATACAGCACACTAAGATCATGTAATAATACTGTCCTAATATAATCCTATCATGGCCTGATGTTGTCAAGATATGACACAATATTTTCGCAATGTGATACTTTTAGGATAGAATATTGTGACAACATGATACTATCACAATAAGACATGATACTATTACAGTACAATACTGTCACAATATCAAGATGTGATATTATCGCAGTAATATAAGGATTTGATGTTGTTACGATATGGTTACCAGAACGAAGTCAAATAACATAAGGATACAAAACTAAACCACTTAGATACAATCCTGTCATGTCACAATAATATTATGACACACTGCCCTCAGTAATGCATGGTATTAATCAAACACTCATTCTGTGATGCTTGATACAAGGAAATCCACAATATCATGATTTCTATAACTGCAGGAAAAACGGGGGGGGGAGAGCGAGAGAAACGTGTGGCAGCTCGATTTATGGCAAGGAGCTTTTGCCTGATGTCTGCCATTACTGTGGTGTAAATCGCACTTACATTTTCGTTCTTCTCCTCTTTGTCAGGGGTTTGCACTGAGTGCCGTTTTTTGTAAGAAGCATCTTTGAAAATATCTCCGAAGCCGACTCCTTTGATCTTCTTGGGCTGGGCAATGCCTCCGTTCCCCGGAGTGGGCAATGGTGAGGTGGGTGTGCCAATGCTTTCCGCTCCATTTCCATCTGATTGAGACAGAGTTTGAGTTAACAGGGGTTCATTTTACTATTACTGTAGTACTTTATAAGACACCAGAAGAGTCTGTTTTCAGCCGCCAGTCAGTGCTGCAACTGTGATTTACTTCTTAAACAGGGTATTCCATCTCAAATCATAGTGGGGCTTCTGCTTGACCATCACAATAATAATACTTTTAAAGTGAAATTCTTAGTTACAAAGTCAAGGAAATGCTGTTTTCATTCAACTTTCATAGTGAATTAAGCACCTATGACAAGCGGTACCATAAAAACAAAAATATCCATCAATGGTCTAATCCAAAGCCAGGGAAGATTAAAATCAGTCTCAGCTGAGCATGATTCATTTAGGAAGTGTTCAGATTAAAACTGGTCCTGACCTCTTCTCTGTTCTCTGGTCACAAATCTAACAATTGCATGCAGTGTAGATCAGTCATAGCTAGCTGGATAGTCATTTGTTCGGCTTCATTGCTAACGTTATCACTAGCAAAGTCATATCCCGGTAGAAATGCTAGTTTATCAGCTTGCCAAATTACTTCAGCAGCTAACATGATCCATATGTTACTAAATTCTGTACAATATGAAATGGTGTTGATAGTTGAGCTAAGCAGCTCTGTCAGTAATGCAAAGATTTACCTTTCACAGTGACAATCAACATAAAAGGTAGTCACCCAGCTAGCTGTGGTTTAGCTACACAACATATCTGGCTTTTATAGTTTCATAAAAAACGTGTTGACTCTGCTCTCATTGTCCTACAGCACACACACACACACACACACACACACACTCTGACTGATAGAACTTTCCTCCAATACGCTCTCATATGAAATACTTGTTTACTACTGACTGCCATCTAGGGATGGGTACCGGTGTCCGGTGCCATCATGGCACCGGTTCTGACATAAACGGTAGTAACCAGACCGAAAAGCAGCGCACATTTCGGTGCTTTATTTCGGTGCTTTTTTT